CCCCCAAGTATAAAACACAGATGTAGAGGACAAAAAAAAATAGGACTTCCTTGGAGCCCTCTCATACTGGGCTTTCCAGTCTTCGCATGTGCAACAGGACCCCCTCCATCCATAGATCCCCTCGTCCACAACCCATCCGTCTGTCTGCTGTATTTATGTATGTTCTTCCTTGTGTGGGCTGGCCACGCTATGATATTTGAAGACTTCCATGAACTGATAAGAACAAATCTAGTTAATGTTTTGATCATCTGCTAATGAAAGATCATTAACGATCTGAGTTAATGATCAAAGACCATCTGCTTTACTCTTCTACCTTCACCGCTTCCTCTCCTTTTCCACGGGTGGGCAGGCCTGGCTTTAAACAGAAAAGTGACAGGGGATAGGTCCCTGATTTCTCTGCCTCTGAAACAGAACTCATAGCCCTGCCCAATTCCAGTGGCCCTAAGCAGCTTCGGGGATCAGAAGTGTCTTTATTGGCACAGTGTAGTAGGCTGCCTACAACTGATGATTCCAGCCAGCGAACGGTGGCCTTGAGGAGAGCATTAATAAAAGGGGAGAGGGTCCTGATGTTCCCACGTGGCTTGATCTGTCTGGGGATCCAGACTCACTAGGGAGGTGGCAAAGTGCATTAGGCCAGTCAGCCCCCACTCTGCCTTAAGCTGATTGATGGGTAGGCTCAGAGCCAAAGGGCCCATTGGAGAGAGGCTCCTTAATGGACCAGTTCTATAGCCCGTCCCCAGCGGCTCCCTTGCCCCCACTACTCAGACCTGGGAAGGCTTCTTCCCACGGCATGGGTGGGCTGTGGGGGCAGGTTTAGCTGGCCTGACTGGATCCCAGTCTGCTGGAAGCATCCTGTCTTGTCTCAGAGGCTTCAAACTCATGCTTGAATTTATCTTAAGGGGAAGAAAACCAAATGGCAGCCAACCTTTGAATATGCAGGGCAGTCTGGTGGCCAGATTTCACTAATTCTGGATTTTAACTATTTAAACTAGGGTGTGAGTTCATGAACAGTGTGTGTCGTTCAGAGGCTTGATACCAGGTAGGCCCCCATGCACTCAATCAAGGAGTAAACAGATGGATTCAGGCAAGAATAAGCAAAGGAACTTGATTTAAATCAGTCTCAAAGGACTAAGAAGGCCTTCAGACAAAGGCAATTTTATTTACTGCTTGTTCAGGCCCCACGCTACAGCTGCCAAGCAAAATACAGCCCTACGCAGGATTTGAGATGTTCGAATTAACACTCTCTCTTGTTCATCCAGAACTCAAGTTTCACTAGTGACTCTTGATTTTATTTGCAATGTCTGGGCACTCTGTGAGAGGCACTGATGAACAGAAGGTTATGAGTATATAGGTTTTCTTGCGCTGAATTTATCTGTTTGGTGAACTCAAGTGCAGAACAGTTTCTCTGACATGCCTCCCGTGAACACCTCTACCTGTGTTCACAGCAACGTTCAGATACTGCACATCGGCCTGCTCTTAAGGGACAGAATGGAACTGTTGTGGACACACACACACACACACACAATATCCTCGAGAGCCAACCTAGTCTGAACAAGCAGGCACAGAGAGATAGTCACAGAGATTGACCATGGAGTTACAATTAGTTTTTAAGTTCAAAATGTAGCTACATAGCATCTCCCCTTTGGGGAGGCAAACCTCTGAACTTTAAATACATACAGACTCATGTAACCGTCCCCAAAGCACGTCCAGAAAAACTATCCCCAGAACACTCAGCCACACCGCTTCCTGGGAATCTATTGTCCCCAGCCCATAGCCCCTGCCCTGGTGAATCTGTTTCCTGCAGGTACATAGATGGATTCATTCATCATGCAGACGGTTCCAGTGTCTGCTTCTTGACAACAGTGTGCTCTTAGGAGTCACCTAGGCTATTGCACACATGAATAAACATGTTCTTTACGGATATTTGAAATGCATTTTTATTTTCACTGATACATCATAACTGTACGCATTTATAGGATGAGATGTGGCATTTCAGTGCACACATACAAAACCTAACAATCAGACAGAGATGATAAACATAGCCACCTCCTTTATGCTCTGCAACATTTTAGTGTAAGGGCTCCATCTCCTGAAGGTCTCACCTGCCCTGTGGGGCAGTTATGAACGCGGCACTGATAGACACAGGAGTAAGCTTTCATATGAACAGAAGCTTTTCTTGTCCTAAGTACCTGGGGGAGGATGAAACAGCCGATGATGAGAGTGTGGCTAATTTGTAAGAAATCGCCCAACTGTTCCAGGGGCCGCCCTGTGGTGCATTCCACGAGGGGCTGCACGGCCTCCCTCCATTGTCTATTATTGGTTTTCACTACAGATCTTTTTCCTCTGGTCTGGATTCCAGGCCTCTTTGCCTATGTAGCTTACAAATATTTCCCTCCATTCTTTGAGTTATCTTTTTATGCTTAATGGCTTGTCCACAGGGCAAAATTTTTAATTTTTCAAGCCCATTTTTTTTTAACATTATCTTTTAGAGGAATGAACTTCTGCCAAACTAGAGGTTATAAGTTTTTTCTCCAGTTTCTTTTAAAAGTTTTATGGCTTATATTTGTATCCATGATCCACTTTATGTGTGAATGACCAATCAATCAACACCATTTATTGAAAAGTTTATTTTTCTACTGAAGTTTTGTCAGAACGCAGTTGACTGTGTTGGCTACATCTGTGCAGATCTGCTTTCTGGGCAGTGTCTTATGTCTGGGCGGTAGTCTATGTATCTGCCCCTCGACTGATAACACATGTTAATTACATGGGAAGTTTTAAAATTGTTTTAAATGAATCCTCCTTCAGTGTTTTCCATTTTTAAAATTTGCTCTTTACTTCTAGTTCCTTTATCTTTCAACATTTCAGAATTTCAAAGTTTTAGACATTCTTATGCATAGAAACATGAAAAATCTATACATACATAGATATATATGTATAAATCTTGTTGAAAGTTCAAGTGGAATCATGTTATTTCGACCAATTTCAGGAGAAGTAGCTTAACGATATTGGGTTGTCTAACTCATACATGCTATGGTTTCCTATGAAGAATATTTTTCTTAAGTCATTATTTCATAATTTTCATCATAGAAATCCTCATTAGTATATATA